TTTCTTTTTGTTTTTGTTTAATTCTCTTTACCCGTTTATTAACCAAGGGTATAAGGGGAAAGTCAACCCCTTTATAAATTTGCATAAATTTGCGATATCGGTCAAAACGGGAACCCCCCAGGTCGGGCCTACCCGGACCGGTCACTGGCCGGGCCACCGGACCGGGCCGGTTCAGCACAGTGCCGGTTCTGGGTTGGGCCACCCGACCCGAGTCCACCTCTACACAACTGTGTTGCCAGAAATCAAGGTGGTGCTCGAATGGATCAAGTCGTGATTAAAGACGAAGAGTCTCGCTCGCGGCGGAGTGATTTTCAGAGAAGGAATGACAACATGGTAACTTGAGAAACCACCTGCAAGGCGCTAAAAGTTCTAGGCGTCCTACAACACGCCCAGCACAGTTCCCGACATCGGCCATTGGGAATCTCATCCCAAGGTTGGAGAGAAAATAATGGTGGACATATTTGTACAATTTATCGACATCTTAGTTCTATTTAAAGGATTTTCTCTTACTTTTTTAGGGGTGAGTTTAGGGTTAATGAATCAATCCTTATATAAGGAATTTTAAACATCTACTTCTTCTAAATCAAGATCTTTTTTTCAAAATGTTTTAAAGTATATGTTATATAAATAAATAAATAAAACTAACCGTGTCGAACACTTTGAGACTAGTCATTTAAGTTAGGCACATCTAATAATGGCATAAAACTAACATTATTTTCATATTAACGTTCAAATAAAAAACTGCAATTATGGAATTTTCAAATTCCAAATGATCAGAAAAAAGTAACACAATATTTTCAAAATAAATTAACAAAATTAATAGAAAAGAGTAAAAATTGAAATTCCAAAAATTGGTTGTTCATATCCAACATAATTTTATTTATTTATTTAGAATATAAAAGTAAAGACAAAGTAAATAAAGTTTAGTCACACATGCATGAGTAACAAATCTAAGATGGCAAAGGAGGTGGGCCCCACAAGCACCTTTTCGACTGGAGGATGGAGCAGGGTGGGGCGGAGGGCAGAGACATGTGATATATTTTCACCATGGTAAACTATGGTGCGGGTGACGCGGAATGCTATATATTTACACACAAACATATTTATATACGGAGTATTATACATAGATATACATACGGAGTGGCGTTCCTGTTAGTCTTCTCATCGGAATTTTGATGAATTGTTTTGAACATGTTATTCATGAAGTGTTTTGATCACACACACGCGCGCGTGCGCGCACACACATTTGCACGCACGCACACACGCACGCACGCACGCATACACACGTCCGCGCACGCGCGCCCACACACTCGTGCGCACACACATGCATACACACACATTGGGGCGTACGTAGCTAGGGAGGGGCCAACCCTGTAGCTAGCCAGACCTCATACTTGCCTTACTTCTTTCCCTCTTAAATTCTTTAGCCTACATATGTTTAATTTAGTATTTCTGCTGAACCTATTTTTAGAAATCACAAATGTTGGTATAAACCAATCAGACTTATAAATTCCAGTAACCAGGAACCGTATAGTACAATAATAATAATAATTATTATAATAATGATAATAATAATAATAATAATAATAATAATAATAATTATTATTATTACCCTACTCCCGTAAAGGCTCCCCACCTACGGTGGAGTAATGAGGGTCAGATGTACGCAGTCTTACCCCTGTACTAATGCACAGAGAGACTGTTTCTGGACGACCCATGGTGAAAATCGCGTCGAAAATTGCATGGATTGACCGCCGCTTCATAAAAAAAACGCATACAGTTTAGTGAGTCATTTTGCTTTATTCCATCATATTCCAAATCCAAAAAATAGCAAGTCTTTGGTTGCATTGAAAATGATGGAAAACGTATAGTACAAATAATGTAAGTTCATTTTTTAGGAATATGATCATTTATGTCATTCCTGAAAATATACTCCCTCCGTCCCAAATTGTAAGATACTTTATGGTTTACAATGTTTGACTGACGATAAAGCAAATTGATCCCTGTCAACACTCAAATTAGTTTTAGAAAATGAAATTTATATATTCAGAAACTACATTAAAACCGCTACAAAGGTTGCAAAAAATAATTCAAATTTCATAAACTTTTGATATATTAAGTAAAAAGTTAAGAGTGTTTTATTTTGACCAAGTGAATAATAAATGTATCTTACAAATTGGGACTGAGGGAGTATTATCATTAATGATTTTTTGTTTATTTGATGATAATTTCCCTTGTGCATTCAGGAGAAACAACCTTTTGAGCGTATTGAATTTTCAAGCTAGGGAACAAACTCAGATGTTTTGTGATAATAAGTTTAAGGTAAAAAAACATGTCTTTTCTTATAATACGTTTCCTGACTATTTCTAATGGTTCTGATCGTCTTTTGATGGGAGTGATTCCTTAGATAGGAGTGGCTATTTCTAAGGGAGTTTTGCTAAAGGTATCCAAAATGTACCTCATTTTTACCCTCACCCCTTAATGTGTGGTCATAAATGGGACAATTCATTTAAGTGGGTCACCACTTAAATGAATTGCCCCATTTATGACCACACATTAGGGGGTGAGGGTAAAAATGAGGTACAATTTGTGTTTCTAAGGAGTGACTATCAAATGCAAGAGCTACAGTAATCGGACGAAGGGGAGAGCTCGGTGACGTTGGATAGCTTGACATGGGGAGACAATGACGAAGGTGCAGACCAAGAAGCTTTGAATGACTTGAGCAGATCTTCTTTTCTTGATTTCTTTTCTTGATTTTTTGGCGTGTTTTCGAAAAAAAGGGTTGTATATCTGACAGACAACTTAGCTTGTAAGTGCAGTGTCTGTATTTGTTAGTAAGACTCGTGAAGTTGTCTTTCATTTGGAAAATAAATGTCTGTGATTGATGTTTAATCATTGTCATTTGATTGTTAGTTGTCTGTATTTGTTTTGACTTGTCTGTGATGACTTGTCTGTCACGTTGTTGTGAGGAGTCAGTAAGAGTTGTGAAGTTGTCTGTCACTTAAAAAATACTTGTATGTAACTCATATTTAATTGTTTGTCATTTGATTGTGAGTTGTATGTAATTTGTGGTGTGTATTTTTTGAGATGTACAGACAACTTGTAAGTGCGGTGTATGTATACTCAAACATGGTTTCATAGTTGGTGAAACCTTGAATTAAAATGTTTGTCACACAGACAACTCATTCGTTTGTCTACATAGAAACATTGTCAGTACGCACATGCAAGTATTGGTACAACTGTATTTTATAGTACATTTCGATGAGTTTAGTAATTATTAATGTAGTTATATAAAAGTGTTTGGATATATGGTTGTATTTGTTAATGTACAGATGATTTTTGTGAAAACAAAAACATGTATACTATTGTCTGTGTGGACAGACAAAATAATGTGTTGTGTTTTGTATTGTTTTGAACGTGTGAATTTATTTGGAATAAGAGATGGATATGAATAATATGTTGTGATTAACCATTCTATTTAGTTTTGAATGAACCATTTTTAAAAAGTGAACATTAATTTCCCGTATTAACGCAAAGTGTGAATGATGAGGAATTGGATTGAAACATTAGTTTGTTGTGAATTACCATTGTTGGCATCAAGTATACATATGCAGACAATAAGTATACACATATAGATATTACTTTATTGTGAATTACCATTTTGGTATATGTTTCATAAAAAATACAGACAATACATATATCTAGACAGACAATAGAGATAAGAGAAATTGCCCTAAATGGGACTAAATGAGGTTTGGAATTCCAAAATATGACTACTATGTTTTTCTTCCCAAAATAGGAGTTTTTACTACCATGTATGAAAAATACTGGCATGATTAAAAAATACTGTCAATAATTATAATAAATATTGTCATGTTAAATGCATTGTACTACCACTATTTGACAGTGACGCCTACAAGACGGCAGTAAATATTATCATGTTAGTCATATTTCGGGAATAAACACATGATAGTCCTATTTTGGAATTCCAAACTCCATTTACTCTTATTTTGGGAAATCTCCCTAGAGATAACCAGACATACATTATTTTAATAGACTTATAAACTTTAATCAATCTACTTCTAAAGACAACTTTGAAGACAACTAATTACATATCAAAAAATACACACCACAAATTACATACAACTCACAATCAAATGACAAACAATTAAATATGAGTTACAGACATGTATTTTTAAAGTAACAGACAACTTCACGACTCTTACAGACTCCTCACAACAACATGACAGACAAGTCATTACAGACAACTCAAAACAAATACAAAAAACTAACAATCAAATGACAGATAATTAAACATCAATTACAGACATTTATTTTTCAAATGACAGACAATTTCACGAGTCTTACTAACAAATACAAACACTGCACTTACAAGTTGTGTCAGACAAACAACCATTTTTTCCGAAAACACACCAAAAAATCAAGAAAAAAATCAAAAAAATCAAGTCATTCAAAGCTTCTTGGTCTGCACCTTTGTCGTTGTCTCCCAATGTCAAGCTATCCAAACGAAAAAAGGCAAAAGAGGAGAGAAGCAGGATAAGAAGCTAGGAGGGAGAAAAGATGGTAAAAATGAGAAGACTCAATGAAGAGAGATCTTGAAATGGAGAAGAAATCAAGATTTAGAGAAAAGAGAAAGAAAGGAGAGTGGATGGAGGACGGTGTGAAAAGAAAAAGATGGAGGAGAGAGGGAGGGAGAAGAAAAGTGGGGGAAGATTTTTATATGGGATACATCATACGTGACTATTGCAAAATTGTTACTCCCTCCGTCCTAAATGGATGGTCGTATACAAGTGACTATTGCAAAATTGTTACTCTCTCCGTTCCAAATTGTTACTTTATTGTACTGTTCACTCATTTATTTTTACTGTTCATTAAAAAAGAGAGTTATAAATGATAGTCTACTTTAATTTCTTTAGGGAGAGATATGACTATCATTTTGGAATATCCCAAGTAGAAAATAAACAATCCTTTTTTGGGAGGGAGATAGTAATATTTAGGCTTCCTCAGCGTAGTGGAGGGGTGATCCGTGAAAGCTTGCAAAGGGTTAATGCAATATCTTATCCCGACCAAAAGTGCCTAAAGGCGTGTAACTCACTCTTTCTGCTCGTTAAACAATCTTTCAGATGGGCAACTACTTGCTATTTTGAGTAGTAAGTAGTAGTCAAATTGGTACTCAGCAGCAGCTCGGAAGTAATCAGGGATTTATTGTGCAGGTATTAGAAGTTTTATCAAAATATATCCAACAAGTTTCTAATAAAAATAGTTTCATACTGTGGAGTATGTCTTTTATATAATAGAGCCTATCATCTAAACAATCCTATGTTCCTAACTCCTTACATCATAAATCAATCTTCCGTGTCTGCAAACACATCTTGGGTGCAATTTTTTTTTTGTTTTATGAACTATTCAATCCTTGAAAAAGTGTTTCATTAAATTGAAGTCTCTATGTTCTTTTTTAATCCTATTGATTCAATTCTAATTCCAAGATAAGACATGGATTATTATCTATGTTGTACGTTTTTCATTTTTTAGCATGTCGATTCATGTTAGGGGATCCTAAAATCTTTTGGGATTAGGGCTTGTATGTTGTTGTACAGTTTTCAGTAGAATGAAAATTGCATGCCAATGTAATCAATATATTACGGACCTTAGCATTCTTAGGGGATTAAAACGACGGAAAAGTGCATTTGCTGAAAAACATATACCTGGGTAACCTCTCTTTCAGGAATACCTCGCAATGTTGGAAGAAGCAAAGAAATATGATCACAGGGAACTGACCAAGAAGCAGGAACTTTTCTTCTTTCACCCTTTAAGGTTAGAAACTGCAAGCATGAATTTAATTGTCAAGTTTGATTTTCAAGATTACACATGATATTCATGATTTAATTTTTTTAGCCCTGGAAGTTGCTTCTTTCTTCCCCACGGTGCTAGAGTGTGCAACAAACTGTTGGAGTTCATGCGCAGTCAGTACTGGAAGAGAGGTTTTGAAGAGGTATATTGTTTTTGTAATTTTAGTTTTCGTGTGGAGGTGCCACCAACCACCTTATCTTGGTAGTTGGTAAGGATTTGCAATTTTTGATAGAGCAATGAATCAATGCTACATCAATTCATGAATTAATCCCCCACACTCCCTTCCACATATGTCCCCAGACACTTTTGGGAACAAGGCTTGGATGATGTTGTTGCTCCATTAAATATACATGTTGATATTATTCTCTTTTGACAGGTTTGGAGCCCAAACGTATTTAATATGCAGCTTTGGGAAACATCTGGTCATGCTGCAAACTATAAGGAGAATATGTTTGTATTTGAGGTAAGGCATTCTTCTCTGTCCTAGGTAAACTGCATTTAATTAGCTATTATGGGTTAATTTATAATAAGGTACATGTTTCTGTTCTTTTAAGTATGAGATCAAGAGTGCCTAATATGTTTATAGAAGTACTTCTGCCGTGTAAGGTAAATGTAGCCAGTTCAGAATTACGGAGTATAATACTGTGAAGCAATTGGAGATTGATAAACAAGGATCTGGTTCATTTTCTTTTTAGTGACTTTTTAGTGTATGTATATGACTATATGTGCAGATTGATAAACAAGAATTTGGTCTCAAGCCAATGAATTGCCCTGGCCATTGCTTAATCTTTGACCATAGAGTTCGTTCATACAGAGGTGAGTTAAATCTCTATGTTCTGTTATCCTTGCAATTAGTTTATTTATACCAGAGTATGTAATAGATCTACAAAATTCCCTTCATTGCATTTTAATCGCCATGTTTATGTACCGAATGAAAAGTTTAACTCCAACCATGCAGAACTGCCACTTAGGCTTGCAGACTTTGGAGTGCTCCACAGAAATGAGGCCAGTTGTGCACTTACGGGATTAACACGTGTAAGAAGGTTTCAGCAGGTATTTTGCAATATTTCTTTACTTGGATACCTTTAATTGCTACGGAGTATTTATTTCACCAGTAAGGGTTTATATCTTAACCTAGTTTTTTAATTGAAAGCAGTACGAAATAGGGGTGGATTCGGTTTGGGAACCGAACCGAAATAGGAAAATTCCGAACCGAACCGAATATTCGGTTTCTCAAATTCTCCAACCCGTAACCGAACCGAATATTATTGAAACCCGAATTTTTGGAAACTGAATTTCCGGGTTGGTTTTTGGGTTTGATGAAAAACCAAATGAATATCAAAATGGACCTGCAATAAATATATTACGTATATATAAGTAACACTTAATAAAAGTTGGTTCGGTTTGAACCAATTTTAAACCTAAAAAAACCGCCTTACCAATTAATTTTTGGGTCCCGACTTTGGGGATCCGTTCTAGTCTGTTCGGTTTCGATTCGATTCTTTTATTGCTCAGTTTGGTTTTTTTCGGTCCAGTTTTCGGTTTTTCGGTTTAAAATGCCAGCTCGAGTATGAAATGGTTGTTCACGATTTAAGTTTTTCTCTTTCTTTTGTTTTGTTCTTACGTGGTCATGCTAATGCTGTTATATTCTAACCCATGCCATCTTTGTAGGATGATGCTCACATCTTCTGTAGGGAGTCACAGGTGAGCTCGGAAAGAAAACTTAGCTTCAATTTCTGGAAGCCACAGAGTTACTTTAATTATTCTGCTATTACAGGTTAAAGATGAAGTCAGAGGAGGATTAGAATTCATTGATCATGTCTACAAGACATTTGGGTTCACGTATGAGCTGAAGCTATCTACAGTATGATTTTTCACTTGTCACAGTTTGTGGATTTTGATGATTTGATATACCCAGGAGAATTTACCTCTAATTTTAATTGCAGAGACCTGAAAAATATTTTGGAGATGTGGCGACCTGGGAGAAAGCAGAAGCTGCTCTTTCAGATGCGCTCAATGAATTTGGCAAACCATGGGAGGTTTGTCAGCTAAAATCTTTTCCTATGCTTCTATGAAACCTTTGTCTTGCTTAGTTAATGCATTAACATTTTTGTGCTTCCACCAACAAATTCCTTTGTAGAGTGTAATTGTCCTCAACAGTAGTTTTTGAGTTGTTTAAAATGGTCATGCTTGCATCTACATTTGTCACCTGTATTGTTTAGCACAAAATCAAAGTTTTCTGAGTTGTCATATTTTTTGGTTCATTCACACTTGTCAAAAGTGATGAGTCAACTTCATTCAGCAATCAGCACTAAAGGTCGATTTAGACCAAATATCTTCGTCAACTCTGTTCAAAGATAAAAGATTAATATATGCTGTTGTAATATTGCACATAAAACTCTTCTACTTTCTCTCTCTCTCCATGTTGTGTGGGCAAAATGTAAGGACCACTTCGGCTTACCGATCAAGCTGCCACCTATTGAAGGAAAGAAATAATTTGCATTTAGAACATAATATTGTAGTTAGCCGTTACATATCTTTGACATTTACTATAGTATTATTATTTACCTTATATACGTGATTAGGATGTGTATAAATAGCAGCTTTGTAAACCAGTTTTAACACACAGAAATATATTCAAAACATTTGTTCTCTTCTCTCTATTTTGGTATCAGAGCCACTGAGCTCTAACCAGCCCTCCTTCCCTCCCCTATGACACCAATGACACCCACCCTGAGGTTCGAAGACTCCATGAAGCGGAAAGAAGACTTCAACTCCTCCGTTGCTGTGGTGACGGCTAATAACGTGAGTACAGGGGAGTCGGCAGTACTTGTAGCGCGCAGAGATCCAGCCCCTTCAATTTTGGGCCCTGGACCGTCGACCCAATTTCAACAGCAGCCCAGTCACCCTAATTATTCGGCCCGCAACACCAATCGGACTCAGCCCAGAAACCAGCGGCCCAATACTCATTACAGTCCCAACCGACGTGGCAATAATAATTTTGGGGGATCCACTACCAACCAGGCAGCCCGGAACAGCCCGGGGAATGGTAATTTCGGGGCCAATGTTACATGTCAAATTTCTGGGAAACCGAACCATTCTGCTCTCAACTGTTGGCATCGGTTTGAACAACAAGCTTACCCTCCTCAAGTCAATACGGCTGTCACTCGACACAATGGTTGGCTACTTGATTCTGGAGCAACCAATCATGTCACAAACAACCTGAATAATCTTACCTTGGCATCCGATTATACTGGCACTGATTCTCTCGTTATTGGTAACGGTAAAGATCTTGCGATAACACAAGTTGGACATATGACCCTTCACTCTCTTTCTCTACCTAATACCCTTTTTGTCCCTTCTATTCATACCAATTTAATTTCTGTCGCCAAATTATGTCGTGATAATGATGTACTAATTGAATTTCATTCTTCCTTCTGTCTTATTAAGGACCGGTGAACGGGAGCAATTTTGTTACGGGGTATGAATAAAGGAGACGTCTACAGCTTGTCAGATGTACCCCTTCCACCATCTCTATCTGCTCACATCACACAAAAATATTCCCTTAATAATTGGCACTGTCGCTTAGGACATCCTGTCCTCCCTATTACTAAAAAAATTATGTCTTCCTTAGGTATTTCCTTTTCCGATGTTACTACGAATAATTCTCTATGTGTCTCGTGTGCTAGTAATAAAAGCCATAAGCTGCCATTTGCAAAATCATCTCTTTCGAGCTTTGGACCTCTAGACTTAATCTATACAGATGTTTGGGGTCCCGCTCGTGTTAATTCTATTGATGGCTTTCGTTACTATGTTATCTTTGTTGATCATTATACCAAATATATTTGGTTTTATCCTATAACTCATAAAAGTGAGGTCACTCCACTCTTTCAACAGTTTAAAAAGATTGTTGAAAACTTTTTTCAACACACAATTAAAACCGTTTATTCTGATGGGGGAGGCGAATACATAACCTTAGGGAAATTCTTAAACACATGTGGTATTTCTCATTTATTTACGCCTCCCTACACTCCAGAGCACAATGGCTTTGCTGAACGTCGGCATCGTCACATTGTGGAAACTGGTATCACCCTACTTCACCATGCATCCATGCCCCTTAAATACTGGGCTCATGCTTTTCTTACCGCAGTTTATCTCATTAATAGATAACCCGCTCTCTCTTAACTTCTGCACTCCATATGAAAAACTCTTCCAACAACCTCCTAATTACACTAAACTTGCTGTTTTTGAGTGCCAATGTTTTCCACGGTTACGTCCTTATACCACTCATAAATTAGAACCACGCTCCAAACCATGTGTTTTCCTGGGATATTGTGACCAACAAAGTGCCTATCGTTGTCTTTATCTTACCACCAACCGTATCTTTGTCAGCAGACATGTTGTGTTTGATGAGTCAGCCTTCCCTTTTTCTACATCCTCACCACCCGTCTCAAATATCACTTCTGAAGTTGATCACTGGCTTCAGCCTTCTATGTCTTATTTTCCCATTTCAGGTACTCTGGTTGCGGGGGCGTCTCCTCCTACTCATACCTCCCTCGGCTCAACAATTAACTCTTGACACGTCACCCACTACCTCTACCCAAACTGATATACAGCTTTCTCCCCCCCCCCCCTAAACCCACACCTCCACAAATTATTACTTACCAACGCTGACCCAAACCCAATCCTCCTATCCCCACCCCTCACACCCCTCATTTACCCACCACCACTGATCTCACTACCTCAAACCCACCCCTCGATACTCCACCGCCTAAACGTACCCATCCGATGACCCTTCGACCCCGTAAAAAAGCCAATGTTGCCACTGTTGATCCTTTACCTCACCATATAATTCCCACTTGTGCTTCTCAAGCTATGCAGGTACCAGAATGGCGAAGTGCTATGACAGTAGAATTTGATGCCTTGGTTTGAGAGGGCACTTGGGATCTTGTTCCGACTCAGCCTGGTCAGAATATTGTGGGTTGTAAATGAGTATATACAGTGAAGTATAAACCGGATGGCTCCTTGGATCGCTATAAGGCTCGGCTAGTGGCTAAGGGCTTCCATCAGCGCCCCGGGATTGATTATTCTGACACCTTTAGTCCGGTCATCAAACCGGTTACCATTCGTATTGTTCTGACTATTGCTCTTTCTCATGGTTGGCCAGTACATCAGTTAGATGTCAATAATGCATTCCTACATGGGACTCTTCAGGAGGAAGTTTACATGAAGCAACCTCCGGGCTTTAATGATGGTTCTGGGTTTGTTTGTCGTCTTCGGAAATCTGTTTATGGGCTTAAACAGGCGCCTCGGGTGTGGTATCAATCTCTTAGTGACTTTCTTCTCTCACTTGAGTTTTATCAATCGGTTGCTGATGCCAGTCCGTTCATTTTTTCCTCCCATCCATCTTACATCTATGTTTTGGTTTATGTGGATGATATTATTGTTACTGGCTCTACACCCGACTTGATACGTCAGACCATTGACTCATTGGCCCACCGGTTCTCTATCAAGGATCTTGGAGCCTTACACTATTTCTTGGGCATGCAGGTTACTCCTACACAAGGTTGACTCTTTCTTAATCAACATAAATACATTATGGACTTATTAAAAATATTAAAAATGGATGAGGCTAATCCGGTGGCTACGCCGTTAGCTACCTCTGCTTCATTAACTTTGTTTGATAGTTCAGGCTCATGTGATGCCACTCTCTATCGCCAGGTCCTTGGGTCACTTCAATATTTGAATCTTACCCGTCCAGATGCTGCCTTTGCTATTAACAAACTGGCTCAATTCATGCATAAACCTACGGTCAATCATTTGCAGCTTCTCAAACGTCTTTTGCGCTATCTACAGGGAACTGCTTCTCATGGCCTGTTTCTTTGTCGCAGCACATCCCCCTCTCTTCGTGCCTTTGCTGATGCTGACCGAGCAGGGAACCCTGATGACCGTTCCTCTACTAGCGCATATGCCATTTTTCTCGGGGAGTCTCTTATATCTTGGAAGTAAGTTAAGCAGCGTACCATTGCTAAGTCTTCCACGGAAGCTGAATATCGAGCTCTTTCCACCGCTGCCTCTGAAATTATTTGGATTGAATCTCTTTTGCGTGAGTTGCGGCACCCGCTCCTTTCTCCTCCACTCCTCCTTTGTGATAACAAAGGTGCCACTACGTCTTCAGCAAATCCTGTCTTCCACACTCGCATGAAACATGTGGCCATTGACTTTCATTTTGTTCGGCAGCGGGTTCAACGTGGACTTCTTCAAGTTCATCATATCCCATCATTTGATCAGATAGCTGATGCCCTCACCAAACCACTTCCCCGGCAACGCTTCATTCTTCTTAGAGACAAGCTCAGGATTCTTGGTAGTGACAGAATACCTGGCTTGCGGGGGCGTATTGAAGTAAAGAAATAATTTGCATTTAGAACATAATATTGTAGTTAGCCGTTACATATCTTTGGCATTTACTATAGTATTATTATTTACCTTATATACATGATTAGGATGTGTATAAATAGCAGCCTTGTAAACCAGTTTTAACACACAGAAATATATTCAAAACATTTGTTCTCTTCTCTCTATTACCACCGACGTACAAGGGCATTTTCCAAATCCAATTGACTGCCGCTCAATCCATAATCCTCGAATAACTTTAATTGTGTTTTACCAGTGTATTGTTATGTTTTTTCTTCTACCTCTGTTCTGCCTTCTTATGATGTGTTGATTTTTCACGCTGTGAAATTCTTTATGTGTGTACATTTTTTTCCTCCTATTTTTGTATTTCCTTATCTACTGGGTGTTTAACTGTAAATTCTTTCTTCCCCTCTAGGTCATGTTTTCGTTGTTCTATGTTTTGTCTTACTTCGGGGTGATCTTTTTCCTTGCAGTGGGCGTTTTACTTCAACTTTCCCTCTTTCCATTAATGGGGTATTACTCTATTAGTTTTTCTTTTTGTAGAACTCACGAGTCACGAGCGGAGTGAGTGGATGTACTTCTTTCTTGTGTAGTAAGTTCTGATTTTCGAAGCGAAAAGTGTACCAAAGAACATAGTAAAGCATTGTCCGATGCAGGGTCGGTTCTGGGGCATGGGCAAGAGGGCATGCACCCCGGGCCCATTGTTCCTGTAGGGCCCATAAATTTACCAGTTATACATAAATAAAAATTATGTATACGTTATATATCTACAAATATTTAAAAGTAAAATAAAATTTATAATTTTTACACTTCCAATTCATTAATTATTCAACAATATCTAAATGCTATAAGTCTAAAATTTTGGAACATCTACACCAAAATTTATTGGGTACAGACTTCACAATTCTACTCATTCATAAAGTGTTAGTGCATAAGTGTTAATCTTTTCATCTACTTCTCTCATGTAAACCCATGATTCATTCATAGCAATTGACTAATTTTCTTTGATTCTCTCATTTAAGTGAAATATTAAATTATAGTACTCCGTATAAAGAATTTAGAAATTTGTAGTTTATTTTAGTCTAGTGAAAGTGTGATTTGAAATATAAAAACATTACTCCATATATCATATAACATTCATGTCTTTGCCTACTTCATTTTTTTATTGCAAGTAACGATGATACTACTTTTTCGTTTGATCAATTTAGCTATATAGACAATATTCTCGAATGTACGTGTAACTTATCAAATACTTAAATATAATCTTTCTAACCGTCTCATTTATTAATTTCTTTGTTGTGTTACATTCGTATATAGATGACGAACGAAATTCCTTAACTTTAATTATAATTTTTTATTAGAAAAATAAACATTCACATGTTCGTAAAGGCCTACTCTTTCTATATTGTCCCGGGTCTATAAAATGTCAGGACCGGGCCTGGTCCGATGCACAAAGAAGTGTCCTTTTTTATATAAACATAGGAGAGGTGTGAAATGCTTAAACTTATATTCCTTGATACAAATGGAAAGAAATAGTCTTAATAATCTTGAGGTGTTCTCCTCAGCCTTAATAGGCATGAGACTAAGATTCTTGCATCAATGCTTTAGCTTCGAGACAAGCACTTCTAATGTTTTTCACAACATTATTCTTACTGTGCAAAAAGATTATTCCTCACTTCCTTGTGTAGTAACTAGTAAGTGATGACATTTACTGCTGATTCCTCCTTTTTATTATATCTGAATTGATACAAATGAAAAGGAATAGTCTTAATAATCTTGAGGTGTTCTCCTCAGCCTTAATAGGCATGATGTTGAGGGGCTGTTTACTTTTTTTCTATTAAGTCCTATCTGGATTACGTCGTCTGTCTGGATTAAGCGATATTTGTATATGAAGCTGTTTACTTTCTGTGCTGAATAGACAGTATGAATTGAGTAAAATAATCAATTTAGTACTATTCTTGCGTTGTAAAGCCATTAAGAAATTTCATTTATTAACATGAACCTATTTCATAATTGATTTGAAAAAATTAACAGAAAAGACGCCTTAATAGACGTCTTAACGGGAAGGAGTACTATATTTCAACTTAATGATCAAGTCACTTTTTTGACTGCATGAATAAGTTTTCCTTTCAATTAAGTCGTAAGTAAACATGACTTAATGACTGAAAGATTAAGTCACTGTTCTCATTAAGCCCATTAAGACTCTTGCATCAATGCTTTAGCTTCAAGTCAAGCACTTTTAATGTTTTTCACAACATTATTCTTACTTTGCAAAAGGACTGTTCCTCACTTCCTTGTGCTGTAAGTGATGCTAATTTCTACTGATTCCTCTTTTTTATTTTATCCTAATTGCTGGTCACATTAAGCTTTTGATGTTTTCAGATAGATGAGGGCGATCGAGCATTTTATGGGCCAAAAATTGATATAAGTGTCTCTGATGCAATGAAAAGGAAGTTCCAATGTGCAACACTGCAGGTTTTCATGCTTCAGCGTCTATTGGTTTTATCTCTTTTGGGATTGAACTAATTATAAAAATCATATTAATATTCATACATATTTAATTTTTAAAGATATTAGTATGTAAGATGTCACCTTTTCTTTAATGTTATTCACTGGGCGTGTTTCAGCTGGACTTTCAACTTCCTCAGCGCTTCAAGTTATCTTATTCAGCAGAAGATGAGAGCAAGCGGGAAGTACCGGTTATGATACATAGAGCTATCCTTGGTTCAGTGGAGCACATGTTTGCCATACTTTTGGAGCACTTTAAAGGGAAATGGCCTTTCTGGCTAAGTCCACGCCAGGCGATGGTTTGCCCTGTATCAGATAAATCTAAAACATATGGAGTAGAGGTTGATATACATTATTCACTTTACTAACCTGTTACTTTCACACTCTTGATTTGTGCATTTATTTATCTTTCATATGGTAAATTTGTTGTTTCTTGTATTATATATACCCTTTATGATGTTGATATGCATCTTAATTTATGTTTGATCAGCTGCACGATCAAATTCATAATGTGGGGTTTCATGTTGATGTTGATACATCAGACAGGACTATCCAGGAAAAAGTAAGGCAAAACCTAAAACATATAGATGCGATTTGTAAAACAGTTTTCAATTTTTAAAGGCCGAAGGGTCAAATAGGTACATGAACTAACTCAAAGTGTTCGATTAGCCCCTTATATAGGAGGTTCTGCCCGACCGTCGCCAATTGGGGCGGTTCCCGTTAAAAATTTTTGAAGAAATTTTTTGAGCATCTTCTTCATTAAGTCTAGTTTATACATATCAAATTTCAGCTAAAAATTAAATCGGGAAGACAGTCAAATGATTTTCCGAAATGTACTGCGCTGTTTAACTGCGCAATTATCTTTAAAAAATCATTTGACTGCCTTCCCGGTTGAACTTTTAGCTGAAATTGGGTGTGAGTAAACTAGACTTAATGAAGAAGATGCTCAAAAAATTTCATCAAAAAATTCCACCGGGAACTTCCCCAATTGGCGACGGCCGGGCAGAACCTCCTATATAAGGGGCTAATTGAACACTTTAAGTTAGTTCATGTTATTTGACCTTTTAGCCATTTTTAAATAAGCCAAAGAGTTATTTCTACCTACATCTATTTTGTTTCTAGTTTAGCCCTTGATTTGGTGTATTGACATTCTTGAATTTTGCAGATACGAGAAGCTCAGATGGCACAATACAACTTCACTTTAGTGGCTGGTGAAAAGGAGGTTACCACCAGAGAGGTCTGTTTGTAATCTGCTCCTTTGTCTTGATTCAAATAAATTTACATTTCTCACTCAACACAATTACACCCTATTCTACATGACCACATTGATTCTCTATTTTTCGCTCTCTTATTGGATTGAAATCTTAGGGAAAAGAATCTGAGAATTTATAATAATGCTAGTAATAACTTGATGGATACGTGATGATAATCTTTTATATATTGAAAAAAGGCATTTGATCTATTGATCAACAAGTTCAGTCCAATGCATCATTGTTTATTATGATCACAACTAATGTTATTACATGATATTACTTTTTATATATATTATGAAATGATGTTATATGACACAATTTATTTTTTAAAATTGTTGTAATAAAGAAAATTCCATTCAAGATTTTCAAATTGTTTTTGTAAGGAAAATTCCATTAAATCATTATGGACAATATCATCACATTCTTATTCCAGTTATAATTATAATATACTATGTATTATTTAAATAATGTTTACAGGAAGATTTAATAAAGGGAGAACTATCAAATAAGCCCCCGAACTTTCATAAAAAGTTCAAATAAGCCCATTTACAGGAGGCTTTGTCCGGCTGTCGCCATTTGGGGCGGTTTTCGGTTGAAGATTTTGATGAAATTTTTTGAGCATACTCCTCATTCAGTCTAGTTTACCCATACCAAATTTCGGCTAAAAATTCAATCGAGAAGGCAGTCAAATGATTTTCTGAAATATACTGTGCTGCCTAACTGCGCAGTTATCTTCAAAATTTCATTTGACTGCCTTCCCGATTGAATTTTTATCTGAAATTTGGTATGAGTAAACTAGACTTAATGAATAAGATGCTCAAAAGAATTCATCAAAAAATTCCACCGGAAACCGCTCCAAATGGCGACGGCCGGACATAGTCTCCTATAAAAGGGCTTATTTGCACTTTTTATGAAACTTCGAGGGCTTATTTGATAGTTCTCCCTTTAATAAAGTATTGACGGTTTTGGATGACTAAATAAAACAATTGGCATTAGTTATGAATTTTTCTTATATCTATTCCTAATGATTTCTTATGTCTAAGGATGTTTTTACTTGGACTGGAATTTTTTAATTTGATTTAATCTGAACTAGTCTGGTCTGGTAAATGTCTGATCTCTGTGTATTTTATAACCGTCCAAGTCTGATCCGGTCTGGTCTTGGAGTGAAAACAGAGTAAGTAAAAACATCCTAACTACAAATATATTGCTAAAATTAAAGTCATGAACAAATATGTGTATTTTGAAAAACAAATACTCCCTCGGCCAAATGGTACTACCTCCGTCCCTTAAAACTTTGCCAAAGTTGACCGGCACGGAAAATAATAAAGTAAAAACTGTGTGGTTGAGATTTGTGCAGAGGAAAGAGAAATAACAGAAACCACAAAATAATTGATTAAAAGGGAAAGTGTCAAAGTTTTTTGAGACGTCCCAAAAAGGAAAGATGTCAAAGTTTTAAGGGACAGAGGGAGTATATGTTAGCCATACTATGTATATTTTGAAAAACAAATACTTCCTCAAGCCTCAGCCTTAGATAATATACTTCTCACTTACTTCTTACATGAGATTTAAGAAAGTAAATTCTACCCTTGAAATTTATTTAAAGGGAAATATGAAGCTTACTATGGTTTGGGAATATTATGGGATAAAGAAAAACGACTCTTCAAATTGTGTGTGCTTCTTTGTTATGAAGCAGCAGTCAGCTCATGCAATTTGTGACGCGATTTTTATCCGCAAACAGTCTTGTGTTTTAGCATAAGGGTAAGATTGCGTACATTCAACGCTCCTTACCCCGCCGTAGGTGGGAAGCCTTTGCGGCAATGAGGTAATGTTGTTGTGAGAAGTTTATTTTGGGGATAGAGGTGAAGATGCCTTCAAAGTTCAAAGTTTACATAGAATTTATTTTCACCTTGATCTTATGCTTCTTGATTGTTTTGCCATGCATTTCCAATTGGAGGAAATGATTTTCTAACTTGTTACCAGGTTAGCGTTCGAGTGAGAGACAATCCTGATCACAAGGTTATGACAGTCGACGAGCTTCTTTCTCACTTCAAGGACTTGGTGGCATCATATCAGTAGTATTACCTCATTCCCCCCCCCCCCCCCCGGGGGGCGGACCGTAGTAGAGACCTAGGGGGGCTGTAGCCCCCCTAACAATTTTTTTTTAGTGTATATATATACGAAAAATAATTTTTGCTCTTCCAAAAAGTATTTTGAACCCCCCAACAATATTTTCGCCTCCCCAAAATGACTTTCCTGGGTCCGCCCCTGCCCCCCCTAATTACGTGGCTAAGAAAAAAATCACCTCTTTTCTTCTAATGAATTGTAAATGTATGAAGTATAAGTAGGTGAAATGTTATTTACAAAGGTTAATTCCCCGAAATGAAGACACCAGAATAAGGCTGAATTCAAGCGTAGCACAAGAAACAACATAAAAGAGCGACCATTCATATGGAAAACCAAACTTTTAAGGGAAAATAATAAAAAAATCCCGAACATTGCATAGGTGTAAAAGTTATTTCTCATCATTGTCATTTATTATTTCACTCAAAAATGTAAATTTATGGGACATAATTTAGATTAAAAAATTAAAAGTGTTGTAATTATATAGAATGTTTAGAATGTTAATTGTGTATTCATAAATTTTAAAATATTTTAAATTATGCAATTAACATCATAAATTTATATTTTTGAAAGAATAATAGTTGACTATGGTGCTAAAATACGGAGTAACTTTTTATATAAAATTTGGATATTTAAACTATATATACAAGTTTGAAGTGTTTATTTCACACCCTTTCAAAATTTGGGGTATTTTAATTATTTTTCTCAAAGGAATGAATTGAGCAAAGTAAAGTATGCATAGAATTTTGTTGCTTACAACTTTTACCTGAGTTTTGATATCTTGTTTCGTGAAAAAGAAGCTGACTGCTTGTTTAATGCCAAAAGGGACATAAATCAATATGAAAAAAAGGATGACACCTAGGGGTGGACCGGTTCCGGTTCGGGCCTGGGTCTGGCCGGGACTCGGTTCATGAAAGGGGAGGCCCGGAATCAGGGCCGGCCCGAACATATTGAGGGCCCTGTTCGAAATGTAATTGGAGGCCCTAAATCATAAAATATATGAAGTCAAATTAAAGCAAGCATTAGGAAAAGTGTAAGAATATTTTGCATAAACCTAGCTATAATATTTTATTTTCTTAACAAATAAAACATCTTAACTCCCAAAAATATATTAGTCGTGCTTATAAAAAAGAGTCGGGCTACTCGAGAAGATTAAAGACATGAAAACATAGTATATTGTACATATGCCCATGAAGAACATGTAAGTACCTTACAAAGATAGATAAAATATTGAGGTGTGGAAGTAGTGTTGTACGGTGCAGAGCTCAAATGTGAAAGGCCGAACTTATCCTTTTGCTCCACTTCGGATTAAGATTTTAGCAGGAATCTTAGGAAATTATTTGACAGAAAGAGTTTGGAGAAAAAGATTTAGTAGAATGGATTTGACAAAGAAATTAATAGAGCTTAAATTGGTCGAGCCACTTGGTCGTCAATCAAAATTTTGTAAATCTTTAAGTTGTATGTTTTACGAGGAGTCACGATTGATCATGATGATTTTTTCTTTCGAAGAGCCGCTTCGTTCATTCTTTCATAAGCATAATATTGGGGGTTTCTAAATATTAAATATAACAATCATTTTCTTGCTCCAACTAATGGTACTAACGTATGAATTAAAATTGGGGGCCCTCTTTTAGTGGAGGCCCTGTTCCACTGCTCCACTTGCACTCCCTTAGGGCCGGGCCTGCCCGGAATCGGCCCGGGTAACCCTCGGGTCTGGTCCGGGCTGGGCCTAGGTTCATGTAATTTTTTTCCGCTTTTCTTAATTAACCCCCAACCCTCCCCCCTCACCCCCAAACCACCTCAAATGGCCCATCATACCCAACCCAACCCAAAAACTTAAAAAAATTTAAAAAAAAAAGAAAAAATAAATAAATTGGCCCGGACCGGGCCCGAATCGGCCGGACCGGTTCACTATTTAACAGGCCCGGGCTCGAACCGCCTACCTCACCGGGCCGAGTGGCTCGAACCGGGCACCAACCGGTTCACCGGGTCGGTCCGGGCCTGCACGGTAGCGGGCCGGTCCGGGCCTGCACGGTAGCAGGCCGGTCCGGTTCTGGGCCGGTTGGCCCGGCCCGAGTCCACTCCTAATGACACCCCATCTCTGAGGGCCTTCAACCCGACCGGACGGGATTTGAACCCGAGATCTAATCCTTCTGGCACTTCTTCACTACTAATTGAGCTATGCCCACCGATGCATAAATCAATGTGAAATTCTATTGGAAATTTTGGAATGTTCATCGGAAACCAAATGTGCATCGTAAAGGTGAGAGAAAATTGTTCATCACACATTCACACGATCCATATTGAGCACGTTGACGTGATCGCTATGTTAGTCACAATCAACGATAATGTTTCTTTCTCAAATTCTTTCAATCCTTTTGAGATTAGAAAGAAAAGGGAGCCTAATGCCATTTTTGACAAAAGGCCTTCAATTATTTTGATTTTAAAGAAAAAAATTCATCCAATCACTTGAAAGAACAATGTAGCCACTTTATACTTTTCATGTCGTAAATCTTAGTGATGCTATAAATAAGTTGACAAATACCCCCTTAGTTCCCAAAAATACTTCCCACTTTCCTTTTTGGGCTGTTCCCAAAAATACTTCCCACTTTCACATTTTGGACAATTTGTGTAGCTCACATTCATTTTACTTTTTTCTTACACAACCACAACCATACATTTTCACTTTATTCCACTTTCTTAATAAGCGTGCCAAGTCAAATCGGGAAGAATTTTTAGAAACGGATGGAGTATTAATAATAACAATTTGGAATTGTGAGAACTACTTTAAAAATTCGGTGAAAAATGAAATCATTTTAAAAAGGGGAGATTTCAACAAATAGGAGCAAAACGTACGGATTTTCCAAAACTAAGACCACAGATTCGTGTAAGACTCAACTACACCTACATTGACCACAATACTCTTACCTTTAGGAAATATGAGATATTAAATAGACAATACGTAGACAATAAGTAGACAATAAATTACCGCTTACCCTCCCATCCATGCCGCCAGCGTCACAGTGACAGAGCCATCCCCGATGGTCACCGCCAGTCAGCACCACCAGCCACCCACCCTCACCCCCAACATCCAGCCACCCCGCCCTCACCCGCAACATCCAGCCCCCAGCCCTACTCCCTTGTCCCCAGCCCTCCTCCCCTGCTCCCCTTCCCCAAATCGGACCCAATCATTCCCCAAATCGGACCCAATCGTTCCCCAAATCCGGCACCGACAGCGGCGTCTGGCAACGACAGCGATGAGGTCCGGCAACGGCGGCGGCATCTGGCAACGACAGCATTTAAAGGTACACCTACTAGCCTGCTCCTGCAGCCATCTTCTGCTCAGCACTCGGCCTTCGTCGCCGCCGCCGCCGCTTGATGCCGCCGTCGCAGGCGGTGTCTTCACAGCGGTGGTAGAAACCGTCGTCGATTCTTCACTTCCCGAGATGGCCGCCGCCTCACCAATGGTGCCGGTACAAAGCACCGCAAGGAGCAGCAAGATGATTCCCGCGGCCACTTTGGATAATGTAGCTGCCTTTTTTGGGCTGAAGGGCAAATTTGGAAAGTTAGAAATAGATTTCCTAATCTAGAACTAAATAAGTAATATGAAAGGAAAAAACATTAGCAGGTATTATTTTTGTAAAAGAGCTATGATTTGATCCTACTAGGAGCAAATTTCTCTTTAAAAAGTCTATAAAAATGATTATTTTCCAAACCCTAATAACTCGTTCACGTCATGATGGTTGTTTAGGAAGGGGGCAGGTCAACGGAACCGCCAATTCAATTTTTTTTTTATAATCCAGGTGTCGGGGCTTACGCTCCCATAATCCTGGAGTCTATGAACTACCCTCCAAAGCCCCTAGACAGTTAAATCCGGATCTGATGACAGTCAGCTTCGTCAGTACGGGCTCCAAAGGACGAATCCAGCAGGACTTACATCACCTTTCAGGCTCCTCCTCCCACCACACGAACCCTTCTCAACCGTTGAGCAACACCGTGAAGGTAGGAAGAATCATTGGGAGCAAGACCTCCCTCATCTCCCCTTGGTGGGAATTGAACGCAAAACCTGCCACAAAAGAGAAACTTGGTGGTGGATGGTCATCCATTGTACTACACCCACCTTCCCACGGAACAGCCAATTCATTATCACGTTCACTTGTTATTTGAACGGTTATCAAAATGACTAACGTCACCTTATGCCCAATAAACCCTAAAGCTGCTGCACGGGAATACCTATGCCGTCACTCTCTTTCTGTCTAGAACTCAACAAAAAATCACCGACAAACTCTAACTAGGGATAAGGCCTCGCATCCGCTACTTATTAGTTATTGAACTCTGGGATAGATAACTTACAAAATCGTCATTCTTTAATCATAGCATTTTGAATTCGTCAGATTGAAAAAGTAAAAAATAAAAAAAAATGTATTTAAAAATCACTATAAATTCGATAGTAACGTTTATGACCCGTTTGGTAAAACCGAAATCGTCCGAATCAACTGAAATTTATAAATTTCTGACTGAAGTGGTCGAATTTGCCGAAATTTATGAATGTCTGCTGAAGTGGCTGAAGTGTTGAATCTCTTGAAATTTATGAATGTTTGACTGAAGTGGAAGAATTGATTATATCTGCTGAATTATTAAATTTTTTATTTTAAATATAATTTCTTAATAAAATTAACAACAAACGACATGAAAATAGCTAAAGTTGTTTTCTTGTAACTTTAGCCAAAAAAGTAACCCAACCTAACTAACCTTGATTATTACACAATTCAATGCTCGAAATCAAAACTTACGTGCTTGATAAAAAATTGACAGACATAGCTGATAAGTTGAAAATAGGGCTTACTAAATGGGCTCACATTTACGACCAATTTCATGAAGGATCTTATCGTTTTTTGGGGGGATTTTGAACTAATTTCAATCTAAAAATTTACAAACATTACACCAACAACAATAACATTGAAATCAGAGTAAAAAATTTACAAACATTGAGTACTTTTTCCAAGTTTGATTCTCCGCAAAATACACAAATGTGTGTGTGACATGCATTTGTGTAAATTAAATACTCTAAAAATGTTTTTTCCTCCCTTTCAAATTAATAAATAAAAATATAAGTTCGTATAAGGTTTGTATAAGTTAATTTTTTAATTTTGTTTTTATTTATTTATTTATTTATTTATTTATAAATATTATCTATAAGGCTATAATGGGTGTTACAATAAGTGCCGCATAATTCATTTACAAAATTACATTTCTTTTAGATATTAAAAATAATGAAAAGTTAGAAGATAGTATTAATTGTTGGACTAGAGAAATTCCAAAAAGATGAGTAAAAATAAACTGATTTTTGTAAATAGGATTTCAATACATGTTTTCTCTTGAGAAAAGGAATGGGTACTAACATGTTGAAATTATATTATGAATTTTTTAGATATTAATATTAATATTAATATTATAATATTACTGCATAATATGATAGTATATTTCAGAATAACGAGAAAAGTAATAATCCATTCGTCTCACAAAATTTGGCCTAAATTAACTTGCTGATGAAATAATAAAGTAAAAAATTTGCATTGAAAAGTAATAATTCATTTGTCTCACGCAACTTGTTCAGAGAAGAGAGGCATGTGTAACCACATACTTTAAATGAAATAATTACTATCTGCGTTCTGGATTAAGCTTCTCATTGAGAAATAATCCCACGATTATTTAGACAATATAATTAAATAAATTATTCGTGTATATTTTGAGAAGTAGTTTTGATGGATATATATAATGTAATGAAGTCATTGATGACAAATGTAATGTTATAACCTTATAGGTGTACTAGTTTAGCATTTTATGAATAAGTTTTCGTTTAAGAGTGCTAATCATTTTTAAATAGAAATAAGAAAATAGCCGAGACGTCCAAAATAGGCAAGTTAGAAATTTAAACTGAGCCCAACTGATTGAGAAAGAATTTTTAGGAACGACTGAATAAAGAAAATTGACAATTTTATTAGGCGAATGAAATAATACTACAATACTCCCTCTCTATTTTAAAGTTTGTTACACTTTTTTGGTATGTTTTTAGAAATTTGTTATATTTTCATTTTTTGGTAAGTTTTTCCTTTTAATGTACTAAAGTACCCTTACATTTTTTACTTTTTATCTTTTCTTTTACACTTTTACACCATTTTCCCACTCTTTCTTCACTATTTATTATCTCTGCTACTTTCCCCATTGAATAATGTACCAACAACATTTTTTAATGTACCAAAAACATATGTAACAATCTTTAAAAATATGGAAAGAGTATTATTATTTAAGGAAATCAAAATAATATAACTCTTATTCTTAAATGTATACGAAGTACTTATATACTACTCCCTTATAATCTTTAAAATATGGAAATAGTATTATTATTTATTATTTAAGGAAATCAAAATAATTTAACAAAATTAAAAAATAATATACACTTTTAAGAGATCATTAAAAAATTATATCTCTGCATAAGGCTGAAAAAATAAGGCTATAATGGCATTAATAAGCCTTATTTTAAACTTAGCATAAGGCTGAAGATAAGGTTTGAAATTTATATGAGTTGATTATATATATAATTTAAAAAAATTTTATAAAAGAAAAATGAATTAGAAGATATGAAGCAGAGATCGTGATGCTCACCGTTAGACTCTTAATACTCAATAGAATATGTTTGATGCTCACTAAAAATACATTAATGCTTATATAACGAAGATGTGACCGACTTGCCTACCTTACACTCGGTGGTATGATGGCTTCCCACACACAATTTCTAGAGCCCGTTTGGTGACCCATTTTTTTTATTTATCAGGCTTATCAATCAGCTTTTTCACCAAACACGTAACTTTTAATTTCGTGAGCTGAATTGTGTAATAATAAGAAAATGTAATGTCGAGGTTACTTTTCTGGTTGTATTGGCAAAAGTAAGTGTAGATTATCATTTTAGCTATTTTTCATATAATTTTTTCTCTAATTTATTATTAAAAATATTTTAAATATAATTTCTTCATAAATGAGTAGAATTAGTTATTTCAACCAAAATTTCACGAATTTCAACAGAATAAGGTGATTCAACCAATTTCAGTATTAACAAACGAGCTCATTTCTTTCATTTTTTGAGCAGCAGCCAATGCACGAACATAGTAAGAGCATCTTTAATGGGGATGTGGATTGTACCACATAAAATTGGACATGTCAGATATATAGACGGCCCTTAAAGCTGATGTGGACTCACACGCTATTAAAATAATTTTTAGGCTCCAATGGGGTGGTGGATTTTTAGGCAATTGTTGGGGTTTAATTTATGTTTAATAGACTGTTGTTAAATCGAATGATGCAAACGCATCATCAATGTGAGCGCCAGTTTCTAACTCCTATTTAATTAATGCACTCAACGCTAGTTAATTAAATAAATTGATGAGTCAGCTTGTCAATGAGGCCTTCTGAAAGTCGAAGGAGCAATACACATCGTGCGCTATATTACAATCCAACTCAGCAAGCCGCTTCATATTCACATTGTTGTTGTAGCATCTAATTTAACTTCAATGTCTATTTTCTTATGTGGCAATGCAATTTTAAACAATCCATGTTCCCATTAAATATCTTGGATTCGAATCCCACCGATTGTAATGAAAGCAGGTGCCCACTCTATCTCCTAAAGTCGTAACTGTCCTATCTGTGCTGGCCCGGGTTTTAGTAACAAATCATGTCCTTTGCTAAGCTGCACGGCTGCCCGACCCGAGATTCTGGCGATTCCACCGGGCTTTCCATCTGAGGCTGCTAAGCTTTACCGACGTGCAGATACTTCGTATAATAGTAGTAGTATGAGCTACCATAGTCAAGCAAAATATGTTATTTTCTTGATTTCGTCAAATCCGTTGAAGTACCTTACTTTCTTGTGAGTCCATCTTAAACGTATTGAGATTCTCAGGTTCCAGTAAAATGCTTATAATTTGATGTACTAAAGGAGAAAGAAGAAAGACAGTGATATGACGATTACGTTTGAGGCTACTTTGCCGTATGTGGGAATGATTTTGAACCAGTTTGCTCAAGTTGGGTTGATGATAGTAGGCAAAGCAGCCATCTCTAGTGGAATGACCACTTTCACCTTTGTCTTCTACTCCAATGCTCTTGCTGCTCTCTTCCTCC